CTTTCTGTGCTTGGCTCATGTCATTTAATACAAAGTTCTCCTGGTTTATCAGTGTTGTCACAAATGACAGGATTTCCTTTTTTTTTTTTTTTTTTAAGATTGAACAGTATTCCATTGTATTTATACAGCACATTACCTTCCTTCATCCAGTTCGGGGGCCCTTAGATGATTCCATATCTTTGCCTACACCTTTAAATAATTAAATATTATTAGCTAGAGGTGTTGCCACTTGGGAGCTAACGCGGGAGGATTGCCGTGAGTTAAAGGGCAGCCTGTACCACTTAGTGAGACCCTGACTCAAGAAAAAAAAAAAGGTTATTGCATGATTTCTTGCTACTAGATTTTTAGTGTTCTTTCCTTTTTATGCTTTAACTTTGCAGTTGTTTTAATTAAATGAGAAGTCAGCTCATTTGTATGACTGGGATTTTAAAGTCATTTTAATGAGCGGTGAAGACACTGTGAACAAAGTCAGACATAAAAGGACAAATACTGTATGATTGCAGTTGAGGTCTCAGCACAAGCCATTTCCTAGAGCGAGAGAATGCAGAGAGGGCTTGGGGCAGAGGGAATAGGGTTATTGATTGTTACACAGCTTGTGTGTGGGATGATAAAACAAGTTCTGAAGATGAATTGTAAAAGTGGTTATAGAACAATGTAAATGTATTTTATGGTACTAAATCGTGCACTTCAAAATGTTTAAATGGTACATTTTAGATGTGTTTATATTTCACTATAATAAGAAACAATTTAAAATAACTTCCAGGTTTCTCACATGAAGGATGAAAAAGTGTCTTTGATAAACCAGCTCACTTTGGTGGAAACGCTGAGGATGGAAGAGCTGAAAATTCTCAAGGCCTCTGCCGAGACCCTCAGCAGTTTGCAGACCACTCTCACCTGACTTCCCTTTAGATGGCTTTGATCACTTCCTGTGGTGGGTGTGACTGAAACCTTTTGAAAGTGTAGTTGGAATAAATTGATTTTATATGGAATCACTGACAGTGGTTGAATGGTTTCTTATTAAATAGCTAGGTACTTAACCCTTTTCCTTTGGCTTTTCCAGCAAGTGATTGGACTTTTAGGAGTATCTTCCCAAGACATGGTGGTGGCCACTCTGCTCCTAAGACGGCATCTGCAGGGGACAGAAGAGGTCCTAGAATCGGGGAGTTGTGGGTGAGGACACATGTGCCATCTGAGTGACACTTCTAACTCTCCACAAAATAAACCAAAGTGCTGCAAGAATTGGGAGGGAAATCCAGACCATAAGAGGGGAGGGAGGCTGTGAGGGAGGCAGGGGTCAGCCAGACCCTGGGTGTGCTGAGTCCTTTCGTGTCCTGTTGCCTTGCTTTTCACATGCCCTGATAGTGTCCAGTTAAAGCGCTGCTTGGCAGCTGGTGGCTTTGGTGTCTGGAGCTCGAGGCAGCCCTGGCCCTGTCCAGGTCTCCTGGACCTTCCCTGTGTAGGTGGCCTGAGAAGGGTGTTGAGGAGCCTTCCTGGGAGGCACTTAGAGTACCTACAAGGACTGAATTTCCTGGCCTCTCATATGCCCAGTTAGGCTTTACTGATGCTTAATTTTGGGAGAAAGACTGCCTCAGCCATGCTGTTCCTTCAGCTTTGTTCCGGCCTCTCTCCTGGGCAGCCCTTTCCACTTTGGGAGCCAGGCCCTGTCTTGCCCAGCAGTCCCTGAGTGGATACTTCTGCTTGATTCTGGGGTTCAGTCTAGGGCTATTGACTTAAAGCCATGGTGACACTTTGGTCTCTGTTTTACTCTTGCTTTTATTTTTTGTCTCTCAGACCCAGGCTGAGGACAAGGGGACATCTCCTTCAGAGCTGTTGAGTTCTGTGTAGCCTTTGGTGGCCCTTGAGGACAGTAATAGAGTCAGGACTCAGAGTTTGCAGGTTGCCTGTCCGGGGACACCCACGCAGCTGCTGCTGTTGCCCAGAGTCCTCTTTCCCTGTGACGTTCCTCCTTTCCTAGAGCTCCAGTTGCTTTCTCATTGTGGAGCTCGACAGAACCAAATGAATGGCTCCCACCTCAGAAGGCAGAGTCTAAACACACATTTTTGGTAGTACATCTGGAACAGCTCCCTATTCACATAGAGATTGTGTTGATTTTGTTTTTAATACCTGGCTTGTTTCATGATATGCTATACTGGTGGTCAGCAAACACTCTATGGAGGGCCAAATAGTAAATACTTCAAGTTTTCTGGATTATGCATTCTGTCCCAGCTGTGCTGCAAAGCACCCGTAAGACAATGTGTAAGCAAATTGGTTGGCTGTGTTCTACTAAAACTTTGTTTTTAATGAAGTTTGGTGACTTCTGTGCTGTACCAGAATGTTTTTCCTGTCTTCTATCCCCTTTTACACCTTTCAGATTGAAAGTCTCCTTTGAATGTTGGAATCTTTGTAGACATCAGAGGTAATTATTTTAGTCCTCCAATGATTAGGAGAAAAAAAACTATAATGACAAAAAGTAGCTTCTCATAATACATTTACCAATGAATATTTTATCATCCACAGCCAATATGAAGAATTGTAATTTAAGACTTTCAGTGTGTAGTCAGTGCTTAATATATATCCATCTATCTGTCTGTCTGTCTATCTTATCTATCTGTCCATCTATCTATCTAGGAATAAGTGAAATCTTAGGCCCCTCTGGCAAGAAATCTGCCCCTGAGTCTGCAGCCCACTGTTCCCACGCCTTCCTGCCTCCTTGAGTGTTTTTACACAGCCATGATCAGGGCTGCAAACCTGTCTCTCCATGTGGAGAGTCCCAGCCTGCGGAGCTCTTTACCCGTTGGCCCTGTTTTTTTCCTTATTCTTGAGTGACTCCCCACTCCCGTTGTGCCCCTCTCCCCAATACATTTTCTTCCTTTTTTGTTGTCTTTTTGCTAGTGCCTTACATGCACATGAGGTCCTAAGCCCTCAAGCCTCAGTGGTATCTGGTTACTGAGCTGTGGGTGGTAAACCTCCAGCTAACTATGGAGGACCTGAGGGGACAGCACCCAGCAGTTAAGGATGATTTGAGGCATTCCTCTGTAATCCTGTAAGCTAAAAATAGAAGAGGCTCTCTCAGACCTGGGGTGGAGGGGGATTTAAGTGCTCCTGCCTGAAGGTAGAGACTGACAGTGACCTTTTAGGAAATTGGAGCTTCAGTTCTGTAAAAATGGCTTTCTTTTACCCCATGCACCTGCTTGCTGCCCTGAGGGGTCCACAGAGGGGCCATGGAGATACCAAAGTAGGGAATTCATTTTAGCTCCTCACTTGGGAAGCAGCAGCTACAGACCCATGTTGGGCAGTGGGTTTTGTCCCCAGCATAGCACAGCAAGACCCGTATTGATTTGGTGGCTGACTGTTGAACATAGGAGCTTTGTTAGAAATGATACCTGTGGGACCACTTGGAGAAGAACTTTTCTTAAGAGACCCAGGAAGACGTGGATGAACTAAAGGAAATAAGAACATTAGTAGGGAAGAAGTGGGCTCAATGGATTTTTCTACAGCCCTACCCGAGTCCCCCACATAGCATACACAACACCAGGGTCCCCCACATCAAAGCCAGTGTACCACACAGTGTACCAGTGTCCCCCGCACTGCGAGCCTGCTGCTGTCTCCTGTTGGCCCCACTCACCTTTTGGAGGCCTTTTCTCTGTCTTCATCATTTGTTATCATCCTGGTTTCCTTCTGTATTGCTTTAACCTTAGGCTATTAGTTTAAAAAACTCACAAAATAAAATGTAATAAAAAATGTAAGGTTACTCCTTCTTAAAGAGGATGGCTATAGTCAAAACAGTAGATAATAACAAGACAATAACAATGTCCAAGATGTGGAGAAATTAAAACCTCATATACTGCTGGTTAGGATGTAAAATGGTGCAGCTTCTTTGGAGAAGTTTGACGTTTTCTGAAAAGGATGAACATTAAGTTACCTTTTTCTTGGGTTACATCTTCCTGAGAGAATTGAAAACGTGTACATAAAAAACTGTTGATGAATATTTATAACCGGCATTATTCACGAAAATCAAAAGCCCAAATGTCCACCACAGGATAATTAGAAACACAGTGTGGTATGTCCATAAAATGGAATACTGTTGAGTCATAGAAAGGAGTGGAGTACTGATACATGGTACAGCGTTGATGAACTTTAAAAACATGATGCCAAAGGAAAGTCCAATCACAGAAGGCCACAGATAGCTTCATTTATATGCTATGCCCACCTGAGGCTCACCTCCAGAAGTAAAAGGGCCAGTGGTTGCTTAGGGGGGTTGGGGAGGGCAGTGCTGAAGGGAAGGTAACAGCTACAGAGCACAGGGTTTCCTTTGGGATTTCCGAAAGTGACGAGCATGGTCTAAAACTGACTGTCATGTGGTGACACACCCCTGTGAAATGACTAAAGCCCACGGAATTGTACACGTGAATGGATTTTACGGCATGTGACTTTCAGTAAAGCAGTTAAAGAGTAAGTAAGGTTAGTATCTAACCGTGAGATTACATCCCTCTTCAGGAAGGTTCAGAAAGGTTTCTCACACGCAGGTTCAGAGTTTATCAGTGTGACAGTGATGGTGAAGCCCTGGCAGTGTTGGGCTCAAGCCCTGCTCCCTCTGTCGCCTCTTTTAATCCTGGTAATGATTCTCTGAGGGAAGGGTCCCCTGATTTTGTAAGTGTGGAGAGTTCAGAGAGGTGACATTTTTACTGAGTGGCAGGGCTTGGGTTCAAACTTGTGCTCCCGAGGTCCTATACGGAAGACAGCATGGGTGAGAGGCACGCTTGGGCATAGGCGGGCACCTCAGTACTGTGTAATCAAAGTGTGGCGGGGCTGGCTGGCTCTAGGAAAAAAATCTGGTAGGGCTGTGGTGATACAGTGCTGCCGCCTAAAACGTACTCTCCTGCCCTCACAGTCCCGGCTGCTTTTGATAAGCAGAGGGAATCATTAATACACGGGAGCCCAACTTCAACACATGATAGCCCATTGTCCGAGAGACTTACTAGCGACGTTTTGTAGAAGATGAAATGGGCTCAGAGTGGCAGATAGGCGCACCTGTGCCTGGTGAGTGCAGAGCCCCGTGGGGCGGTGAAAGGAGTCTTTCTGTTACAGGCAGCTGGAGCCTTTTCTGCGATCATGTCCTTGATCAGAAGCAGCCAGACTGCGTGAGCCCACGCGGGCCCGCTGAGTGAGAATCCCTGGGGGAGGGCCCCGGAATGTGGCTTTCCCAGGGGACTTCAGTCCATACTAAGTTTGCAAACTACTGATGTGGCCGTCCCAAAGGAGGAGCCCTCGGTTCTGTCAGCCCTTTAGTGGGCTCTTGGGAGCATTAGGCAAACTTGACCTTGAGAGCCGGGGATTCTGAGGCTGGTCCTCTCAGCGTTCAGCCTCGGAGGACAGGCGTGCTGGGCGGCTCCGACTTCCTCATTGGTAGGAGCCCAGAGAGGCTGAGAAAGGTGTTCCGGGGCCATTGATTTAGGATCAGAACCCGCTTTTCACCCGTCCTAGTGGACTTTTCCCCTCTCCTGCATCCTTCTCCCAGACTGTAAGATCCAGACCTCTCCCAAGGGAGCCCCCCCAAATGATTCTCCTCTACTGAAGAACCGGAAAGTTTCAGCAGGGTTGTTGGGGTGGAAAAGGGAAGTGGTAGACTCCACTAAAAGAGAGGGACAGGGACGAACAGCCTCCGAGGCCTCTGTGGTGTGGCACATTTGCGTCCGTGTTCCTCATTTAATTTTCACAAGAGCTTCAGGAGCAGGTGTTGCATTTAATTAAATGGGGAGACACCAAGGCATTCAGGGGTCAAGATACCCGCCCCACACCATTCAGCTGGTGTGAGCACTGGTTTTTCAGTGATTCTTGCATCTGCCTTCGAAGACAGGAAGTCTAGGATACAAGATGGACACTGCCACCTCAAACAGCTGGTTTTGCTGGTCCTGTTTTCGAAGTATAATGGGAGACCGTTGACCTTTCTGTGCTCACTCGTGCAAGGGAATCTGTTTAAACAGAGCCAAGCTATGGGGAGAAGGGAGAATTGCTCAGAAGTCTGTGGGCCAAGCTCTCTCCCTGCATCTCCTCCTGGGGACAGATCCATTTCAGTTACAGCACCGTCCCCCCTCCCAGCCCATACCTCAAAGGGCAGTAGCTGATATTAGAGAACGGAGAAGGATGAGAGATCCCAAAAAGGAGGCCACTTGCCATTTCTGAGGAATTTATCCTGGGGCAAGGCTGTCCTGTTGACCTTTTGGGTCCTTGTCCATTTCAGCAGCTCTAGCAATTGCCTTTGAAAGCTTTCTCCTGGTGCCAGAGAAACTGCTCAGAACCCAAATACTCCTACCAACCTAGATTTGGAAGGTAAGGCAAAGGCCAGGACTGCAAAGAGCCTACTTTGCAATTATGGGTAATAAATATTGTAAATAATCCTAACTTTGCCCTTATTGCAAAGGGAGACTGAGTATTTGAAGATAAAAGGTAGTTCAGAACATCACTAGAAAAGCAGGTCAGACCAAAAGGAGCATGAGAAACGTGGTGTAGACCTTTGCTTCCTAGGTTAGTCCTCACGACTTGTTTCATTGAATATCTTTGCCTCCCAGGCCTCAGATAGTGGCTCACAGTCTTAGTTATGCATACAGAACTCTGACAAATCCTGATCTGGGGTGTGCCAGGGCATGGGTGGGGAGAGGCGGGAGGGGGGGCGGTGTCGTTAGAACTGCCAAGAGCTTTCTGAGCCTCTGATATACAGGAGAAAGACGCTTAACTCTTCCCTGCTGGAACATTCTGGTTTCCAAAACCTTTAATTACTGTACTTTTGGGAGGGAGGATAGTGAGTGTTTGTTCCTATAGTACACCTCTTTATGCCGCGTAAATCTTTGAAATAGTACCAGTCGATGTGTAAGACCAATCCAGAGATCAAATGCTTTTATCATTCCACTCAGCAAATACAGTTAAATATAAACACCCAATCCACAGTAGATGATCAATACTTTTTAGTTTGTTTGTTTTTTTCACAAGTATCTTTTCAATGTGATCCACACCTCTGTGTCCTGAGTGTTTGGATTGCTGCCGAAAAACTATCAGATGAATCCTCTTGAGACTTTGTGATGTCCTTCAGCCACTTCTATTTTAGTACACAAGATGGCGCCAGAGGACCAAAGTTGAGGATGCTGAGTTGGGCATTGACTCCATGGAAGTGAATCACAGGATGTTTTTTCCAAATATGAATAGAACCCCAACAGGCAAAAACAACTCTCTGTTGCTTTTGGAACCAAATGCAGATGTTCAGATTTTCCTTTGGGCAATTGGATCTTCTTGAGTGAGAAGCAGGCAGATAAACTGGCCAGTAGGGCAGGGTGGTCCAGAGGACTGGGCAGAGGCAGGACAAGTGATTAGACTCAGGAACAAGCCTGTCTGCCAGTAGACAAGCCATAAGTAAGTGTAAATCCTTAGCACTTTCTTCAGAGGAATTTCTCGTACCAAGTAGCAGGTTTTAATTTCCATCATCATTTATAGGAGGTAGACAGAGGTCTACCTGACATGCAGGTAAAGAGAGGAACTCTTGTTAAGTTAAAATTAGTCACACAAAGAAAGAGGGACTCACAGCTCCTCATCTGCCAGATAGCTCTACAGTAAGAAAGTGGTCATTTTGTGGAAAGCTGGCCCAACCACTGTTACAGGGGCGCATTTGATCCAGGGTGCCCACGGCTCCTCTCCTTGGAGAAGTCCACCCTTAGCTATGGCTCCTCCAGAAGTGACCACAACCACAGACCCCCCCTGTGGGCAGACTTAGCACTACGTCATGTTGTGACTTCATGCCAGTGGCCTCATTGGAAGGGATTTCTTCCATCTGCTGGACCTTCTCAATGTCTCTGTCGTGTTGTAGCTCCACTAACTTAATGTGGAGATGAGAACCTTCTATCATGATTCTTCTTCTCCTCCCCACGTCTTGCTATCTTACTCATTGTGGCTTTGTCTTGGGTGTAAGTTTGTTTCCTCTTGGGCACATGGATTTGGACAGTACTGGCAAGGACACTGGATGAGGCCTTTACACAGTGTTGGTGTTCTGTTTTTCTAGTTTGGAAAGTGGAGAAAACTATCAATTCCTGTTTCTCAGATCGAAGTTGCATTACTGGTGATGCTGGTTGTGTGTTTGGGATTCAGATATTGCTTGAGAGCATTCAGCTTGGAATGACAAGGGATTTTTTTATTGCTGTGTTTCAACCTTAAGAGCAGGTAGGCACCAAGTAGCCTGGTTTGGGACCTGTGGTTACCTGAACACACCTACAGGCAGGAATTTTACAAGGTAGAAAATGTCCTGTCAGTATACAGAATGCAGTGTCTCTAATACCACTAGGAGCAAAATACTAGCAGGGGGCAACTTCTAGGTTTCTTTTATAGTTTACCAAGGCAGAAGTCTGTAGAGGAGGCCCTGCTGTCAAAAATGTCCCAGGAAGTGAAATAAACACTTTCACCATCTTTTTTGGTGGGGAGGTTGCTTGCCTTAACCTCATTCCTCAGAGGACAACATCAGCGTGCCCAGAGCCCGTTCCAATAAACAATCTTAGACAACCCACCTTCCCAGACCCACCAAATCAGAACTCGGGTGGGAACAATCTGCAATGCTTATAGTAGAAAACAGTGCCTCAGCGGTGTGGATGGCTCCAGTGGTCCAGCCAGTTTAGGGGGTGTACCCATGGGTTCCGCATCTGTGGATTCAGCCACCTGTGAATAAGAGACACATTCAAAAGAAAAAAATCGCAT